TCTCTGAGGCCTTCGGAGGTCTTGGGCTTGGTGAGAGGCTTTCAGTTTACCCTGAGAGGATGCCGAAAAAACCAATAAATACCGACCACCCGGAGGACTGGTTTGGTTTTAAGTCGAGATCAAGGGCATAAGAAGTGGTTGATGGACAGACAGTGGCCATGACCTGTTCTGGCCAGCCCTGAAGTACTGAGCCGGTTTCTTTTTTTTTGGTTAAATTTTTTTTTTATTTCCTTGAATATAATCACACATTCCAAAATAGTTTTCAACCAGTTAATTATCCCATTTTCCCTCCCTTCCCCCAATGGCTTCCCGCAATGCGTCTCCCTTGTGTCTCATAAAATTAATAAATCTTAAGATAACATCAGTTAACTTAGTATTGTTCTAAACATAGTAAATTGTGTTTCACATCCCAGTTTTTTTCTAAATACATTTTAAAGTCACTCCATTCTTCAACAAACTCTTGGTCTTCTTTGTTGTTTAGTTTTCTAGTTATTTTATCCATTTCTGCCATGAACAGAACTTTTTGTAACCAAACGTCTATTTCTGGTACTTTCTCTAGTTTCCAATATTGCGCATAAATCATTCTTGCAGTTGTTATCATGTACCAGAACATAGTCTTTCTTTTTACGTTCACTTCTTCCATTTTGAGTCCTAAGAGCAGAATTTCTGGCGCCTTCTTAAAAGAACACTTCAAAATCTTTTGTATTTCACTATGGACTTTTGTCCAAAAGTCCACAGCTTTTTCACATGTCCACCACATATGGTAAAACGAGCCTTCATGTTTTTTACATTTCCAACATTTACTAGACATATTTTGATTCATATTTGCAATTTTCTTTGGAGTCATGTACCATCTATACATCATTTTATAACAATTCTCTTTTACATTGGTACAAGTTGAAATTTTTAACGAATTTTTCCACAAATATTCCAACGATTCTATTGTCACTTCCTTATTCATGTTAATTGCCCATTTTAACATTTGCTCCTTTACAGTTTCATCTTCAGTATACCATTTCAACAATATTTTATACATATTTGAAACCATTTTCCTCCCTCCCTTTTCCCAAACAGCTTCTATTACATTTTTGTCCTCTCTAAAACCATATTTTTTCTTATCCTCTTTAAAAATATCATAAATCTGCATATACTTCAACCAAACATAATGATACTGAATTTCATTCTGCTCTCTCATTACCCATTCTGTTCCTGCCTTTTTGATTAAGTCCTTATAAGGCAACCATTCTTTGCCCTGCTGTCTTGAATATGGTGTCAAAACTTCTGTTGGTACAATCCAAAGTGGTCTCGCATCGCGAAAATATTTTTTATATCTCGTCCATATCACAAATAATGCACGTCTCACTAAGTGATGCTTAAAAAAACTGTCCGCTTTTACTTTGTCATACCATAGGTATGCATGCCACCCAAACCTGCAGTCATGACCTTCTAAAGCTAGCAGTTTCTTGTTGTCCAGTTTCACCCAATGTTCCATCCAAGTTAAACAAACTGCTTCATAATATAACCTCAGGTTTGGTAGTTGCAAGCCTCCTCTTTCTTTCGCGTCACACAGAATCTTCATTTTAATTCTGGGTTTTCTGCCTGCCCAGACAAATTTCGAGATTTCTTGTTGCCATTTGGTCAGTAAATCTGTCTTGTTCAATATTGGGATAGTTTGAAATAAAAACATCAGTCTCGGTAAAACATTCATTTTTACCACAGATATTCTACCCATCAACGATAAATTCATACTATCCCACTTCTTAAAGTCTTGGGTTAATCTACTCCACAATTTTTCATAATTATTTTTGTATAAGTCTATATTTTTCGCAGTTAACTCAATTCCCAAATATTTTGTCTTTTTTACTACTTCGCACTTCACCAATTCTTGCAATTCGTTCTGCTTCTTCTTCGTCATGTTTTTACATAACAGTTTAGTTTTGTCTCTATTTACAACAAATCCTGCGAAATCACCAAAGTCCTTTATTTTTTGAAATAACAATGGTAATTTTTCATTTGGGTTTTCCACTATGAACATCACATCGTCTGCGAATGCTCTATATTTCTATTTGTAGGCTTTATAATTCAGTCCTTTGATTTCTCCATCTTCTTGGATTTTCCTTAATAGCACTTCCAGCACCCATATAAACAGTAGAGGAGAAAGAGGGCAACCTTGTCTTGTTCCCTTCTGTACTTTGAGGTGGTCTGTCAGTTCCTTATTCACATTCAATTTAGCTCTTTGTTCCGGTTTCTGAGGTTTGTGGAGTGGCCTGCAAAGAAGTTCAACTTTCAAGAGTCTGGGCGTAGTTATTGGGTTTCTGAGACACAACGAAGTTATTTTGTGTAGAAATGATTATAGAATCTGGTTAAAATTGTAAGGTTATTGCAAATGTGTGTCAATATGAGTTGTTATGTGAGTGTACAAAAATTGTATGAAAATTTAGGTTTAGGCTAGGTTTTCTGGGAGTATCTACTGGTCAATAATGTTATAATAGTTTTACTTTTGGATCGCTCTTTTTTTTGGTGAACTTAATAATTAATGAAGACTTTTTAAAAAGAGTCTGGCATGCTGCTGGATGCCTCCCTTTCAATGGAGGCCCAGGTCACAAATGTGGATAAACTGACATTTTACCATCTGCGCCAGATTAAGCAGTTGGTCCCTTTCCTGTCTTCCCCTGACCGAGCCACAGTGATCCATGCAACAATCACCTCCAGAGTGGACTACTGTAACTTGCTTTATGCAGGGCTATACTTGAGACTGACCTGGAAACATATTCTGCCTGGAACTCTATTAGAGCCCAGCGGCACTGGCTCCAGACTGAATATCAGATTAGGTTCAAGGTTTTGGTGCCAACCTTTAAAGCTCTACATGTCTGAGACCAGCATATCTTTAGGATCGTCTCTTCTGGTACGTCTCCCAAAGAGTGTTACATTCCAGCAATATGAACCTCCTGGTAATCCCTGGCTCAAAGAGTATCCAGCTGTCCTTGACCAGAGCCAGGACCTTTTCAGCCCTGGTCCCAGCCTACTGGAATGCTCTTCTGGGTGAGATACATGCCTTGTGGGATCTGATGCAGAGCTGTTCCGCCAGGCCTACAGTTGATGGCAGCATGGGTTTTTATCTCAGATTGGCCTCCCCTTCCTCTCACTCTTCTCCTCCCCTCTCCTTTCTGGCAGATTGATTTTAAGATAATTACTTCCCCCAGGGATTTTACGCCATCAAATAATGTAAACATGTTGCTGTGTTTTATCCTATTTATTGTAAATTGAATTGCTTATGTTTTAACTGTGTGGTATGTTTTATGATGTTACCCACCCTGAGCCCTGCTCGCAGGGAGGGAGGGCTATAAATTGAATAACATAAATAAATAAGACTTAGGAGCCTCTCATTAGACATAAGTAACTTATGATGTAGCCAAAAATTATCTTTGCCATGCTGCTAAAGCTTCTAGAGATTTCTGATTTAGTTCTGCTCTGAGCACTATCCAAGAGACACAGTTTGTCATACCTGATACACTACAGAGAAGTTGCATTAATAGTGGTCAATTGCTTCATCTACTGCATCGAACAAAACCCCAGTACCATATAATATTTGGAGAATTACCTTAGCATTAAATGCTTTAATTGCTCCAGGTATAAAAAAAAGTGAATTAGAGCAGTACTGGATATGTTTGCTTTATGTTTAATACTTTGCAGATGTGCTTGAAATATAATACCCATTTTAGCCTACAGTTCCTTCATAATCCCAGTCTTTTCTGACCAATCTGTTCTGAATATGGTCAGACCAGTGCAGGATAAAGCCTTCCTTTTGTAAGGGAGCTCTAAAAGTGAGTTTATGCTACTGTAAACACTAGTTCTGACTGCTTGATGTAGTTTAATAAAGGGTCCCCAAGCTTTTAAAGCATGTGGGCACCTTTGGAATTTTGAGAGAGCAATGTCAGTGCCACCCCCAAAATAGTTGCCACATATGGCAAATGGGATTTCTCTTCACTTTTTCAGTCATTGGGATGTTGTATAAAAATAAACAGGAGTGCAACAAAGACTAACAAAATTTATTACAGCATAAACTTTTGTGAGTCAGAACAGGTTCACTTAATTGAAAGTATATTTATACTGGAATAAATTTTATTAAGCACTACTTAATTTTCAAGCATTCGATGAAGTGTCCGTTTGACTCCTGAAAGTTTGTCAGAATAAATATTAAGGGACTTTGTTGTTGTTCAGTCGCACAGTCGAGTCCGACTCTTCGCGACCCCATGGACCAGATCACGCCAGGCCCTCCTGTCTTCCGCCGTCCTCTGAAGTTGGCTCAATTTCATGTTCGTTGCATCGATGACACTGTCTAACCATCTCATCCTTTGCCGTCCCCGTCTTCTTTGACCTTCAATCTTTCCCAGCATCAGGGTCTTCTCCAGGGAGTGCTCCCTTCTCATTAAGGGACTACTGGACTCCTGTTCTCTTTTAATATATATATGGCACATGAAGCGTGAACCAGCTAATCTGCTTTGACTAGAAATTGTTTTTGTAGTTTCCAAAACTTCTCACAAGCTCAGCAGACTCCCAGAAGGTATCAAGTAACAGTAAAGAGATCGCCTCTGATCATGGTAGAAAAGTGACTGATATTATATATATAAATATGCAGTATTGGTCTCTTCGAAAATAATCCTATATTAGTTGCTGTAGTAGATTAGTTGTCCTATATATTTGAAATCTGAAAATCTGACAAGTGAAGCTTCCACAAGAAGTTTGGGCCCTTCTCCTTTCGAAGTCATTCTGCTGAATGCAACGTCGTCAGGATTCTGGGGTCCTCCATCCCAAGCAAAGAGCTGCTCTCCTGCGGACACCGTCTCCCAGGCACTCCCCCCCCCCGCCCCGCCCACTTCCGAAAAACGACCTTCCTTCTCCGTATAGCAGAAGCAGGCGGCGCTCCTTGCGCCTGGCACCGCCCTTTTCTCCACCCCGCTCTTCTCAGTCTATCAGCTGGCTCTACCGCAATCAAGATGGCGGCGGAGGCGAGCTGAGGCTGACCGGAGGCGTCTCGGTTGGTTCCTTGGTATCGGGCGGAAAGAAGCGGAAGAATGGCTCGAACGCGGAGTCTCATCAGCTTTCCCTGAAGCTGAGAGCGGGGAGCGGAGGCCATGGCGGGCATTATCAAAAAGCAGATCCTGAAGCACCTTTCCAGGTCAGTGTAGGGGGACGGCGGGGCGCCCTTCGTGGGGAAGGAGGGGAAGGCAGGCAGGCGGCGGCCGTTTATCTTCGTGGTCCCTTTTTTCTTTTCCACGCTCCGTGTTGACCGGCTTTCGCAGGCTGGTGAGTACCGAGCTGCCGCCTTAGTGCACCCCTTTCCTTGAGTCATGAGGTAATAGGGTAGTGATGGAAAGCATTTGAGGGGGCTGACAGATATTTGGGGAAGACTGGATTTTTTGGGGGGAAAGCGTTTCGACCATCAAAACCCAATATCCTTAGTGTTGCATTTCAAGGTGAGTGTGCCTGAAATGGGGCAGCCTAGTTTCGGCACGAGGCAGTTGGGGTGGAAGGGTTGGTGCCCGCATCTCGGTATTTCCCCCTCCCCGGCCACACAACCAGAGGGTCAAGGATACCAAGCAGGCAGTCTCGCGCTCCACACATCGTCAGAGGGAAGAGGGCGAAGCTCGGCCCCCTTCGCGCTGCCCTGTGCTTCGAGTATGCGCCTGCAAAGTGCCTGAACAGTGTGTCTTGAGGGAAGCATACAAGCGAGAGTGTGGGTGGATTGTAAATTGTGCTTGACACGTTGTATGTGGGAGGAGCCAGCGGCCTCTTGGTTGATGTCACTGTGCACATCTTCTGCTTCCACAGGTCTAGAGATGCCAGATTTGTGTAGGGATGACAAATTTCGGGGGGGGGGCGGACTATGACAAGTTGTACATTGTGCCAGGCGAGTGAGTTGTCTGCTTAGCATGTTGTGGTGCTGACCGAATGAATAGCAGAATCTTTGAACTTGACTGCATGGTTAAAACGAAGGATTATATTTCATTGCTGGATGTGCCTTCAGTCTAACATCAGCCACGGGCACCCATGGCAGGCATGATCAGTTTTTTGAGGAAAGCAAGAACTGAGGAAGTCCAGCATGGTTTGCCTCTTGTGCTTGAAGCTTGACAGGCAATCAGTAACGAGAACAGGATGTAAAATGTAAAGTCCACGTCTCCAGAATGTGGGGACTTCTTGTCCAGAGTAACAGATTTGTGCCACTTGGCCTAGATCCCTTCATTTTATTAACTGTTTCTCATTGCTTTCTGAGAATGTACAGCTATATATATCAATTTAAACTTTATGTAGAATTATCAGATAACTCTTGGTGGTTTCATCTTATTACTTAAAAGAGAAATGTTGGTTGGGGGATGGCTAAGATGAAAAGAATATAAACAAAAGACTAAAAAACCAATCAGTTGAAAGGGATATGTACACCATCGTTATAAACGATGTTCAAATACTGACTGATTTGTTTGAACCATTTGATTGTTTAGAACATTTTTAGTCTGCCTTTCTTTGAAAGTGGACCTGAGCAGGGGTCATTTCGTAGAAAAAGAGCTAGGGGAACTCATTAGCATAACTCATTAGCATATGCCACACCCCCTGACATCAGGGGCCCGGCGGTGGACCTGCAAGGCCAGCGGGAGTGCGAGGAAGCCCCGCCAAGGCCCTCCCTGGCCCCAGGCAGGCAGGGGTTGGGAGAGGCGGGGAGGAAGCAACTTACCCTCCCTCTTCTCCTGCCTCCTCCTGGCTGAATGAGGGCCAGAAGCGGGGCGGCCGGAAGCAGGGGGCGGGGCTTCGTCATGTGCCCCACCCCCCTGCACCTCACCCGGGGGAACTGTGTTCCCCCGCATTCCCCCCCCCGAAATGACCTCTGGACCTGAGGCAAGTTATAATGGTAATAAAAACAATATGTCATTAACATCCATAAAACTAACAAACATATGTAATTAAAATTAGGTGGCAGTGTCAAAAACTCTCCCGAATAATGCCACCTTGCATAATTTGCAGGATCTCAAGAGGAAGTCTTCCTAATAAATAGCATCAGGAAGGCTATTCCATAAAATAGAGGCGTGGCTGCTGAAAAAGTATACTTTTACTAATTCCAATGATATCGAATAGATAAGATTAAAACATATTTGTGGAAGAGGGTCAATTTTCATCTTTTTTGTAACCAAATTTGTATCACCCCAAATTGGCTGTCTGTGACTTTTATAGTAAGTATGAATATTTGCCAGATGCTTAAGCAATAAAAATGAAGCCATCTCTGCCTTGAAGTAGTCCCCATCACCCATTCCCTAATTCTTAGTATGAAACTTTGGCTTGGGGAAACACGGGAAAGTTAATTTATTTATTTTTTCTTTACAAAAATATAACTGAACCAGGTTGTTTAAGTCCTTTAATTCAATACAAGGAAAAATGAGAAGTAACTCTTATGTAGTTGTTTTTGTAAAAACAAATCGGTTATAAAGCTCGTTTTACCTGTGTCTTAGTATCTCTGATAAAACTTTTTTTTTGCTTTATTCAGCATAATTTAATATATTAAAAGATATTTTTCACCTTTAAAAAATTTTGTATGATAGTTTGATACAAACATTTTGTGGGATTTCAGTTTCTGTTCATTACTCCAGCGTTAGTTATTAATGTTTAGAAATTTTCACAACGTTATATACAATTTTCAAATAAACCGCTGTTTTGTTATGTGTATGAAGATCATGGTCATAATAGCTGTCACTAATTGCAGGTTATAGTTTATTTTTGATGTATCTTTGTTTCTTATTAGTATTAACTAAATGTCCAGACTATTACAGAGACATATAACTTTGGGTGTGCATGTTCATTTTATGCTGAGTTTTTTATTTCAAAGCATGTTCAACATGCTAAGTGTTCTTCAGCTTAATATAAATAAGACTTTTATTGTGGGGTAACATTGGTGGGTATTTAAAATGCACTTCTTTCACTTTGGCTTCATTATTTGATATTTAACTTCCAGACTCATCTGAACAGGAGTGATGCTTTTCATATTATAGACAGTGTAAACTTTACTGAATGTAATATATTTGTAAATGTAATCTATATACTAATAGCCAAGGGTCCCCTCTCTGTGCGGATACTTATTTCTGCAGACTGGGACCTCATGGGGGGAAAAGAGATTATCCTGCACACGTTTGTTACTTCCCAGGTGTGAAGAAAAATCTAAAAACTTTAAAATATAGAGGGGGGAGTTAAAAAACATCCAAAAAGTAAAACAGAGTTCACTGCGGCTGCGTAGAGAACGGACTTACCAGGGCAGAGGGGGAGGAGCCTTCTCTCCCCGTCCCTCCCTGTTCTGTTGTTCTGATAGCATTGAGTCCTCCCCATGGCCACGCCCCCTCCACCGAACGTTCAAGCCTCCAGCAGACAAGGATTTAAAGCAAACTGCAGCAGATCTCAGATGTCTTCACTGGGCAGCTCCTTCCACTTTGCAAGAAGGAAGTGCACATACACACACATACACACCTGGAAACTGGTGCAGGCAACAGAAGTTCCCAGTGCCTCC